CAGCTTGAGGACACCGTCCCTTTCCTGCAACTCCTCCCTACCCCGCTTGCCCCAATTTAGGTATTGACTCCGGGTCTGCAGGAAGAATACAACTGACCTCCGTTTTCGGCAGATCTGTGATATTTATATCCTCCAACAATGCCTCGTGTCAGTCACTGAGAGCGTGTGAATTCAAGCCAGGCCTAAAATAGCAGAAGAACAGAAATACACCTGAAGGACCAGAGACATCCAGACACAGAAAGAAGCTCAGGCTGGGTCCAGGCAAAGCTGGTATTTTTTTTTTAAGTTTTTCTATTTTTTAATTAACCTTTTGGAAATCGCCTTAAAATTGGAGAAACGTTCCCAGTTTCAGGACAAAGAACTGTCCCCACCTGAGCCATCTGACAGTAAACTGCCAACCTAAGGCCGTCACCCCATGACTAGGGTTTGCTCCCTATGAGTCTGCACCTTCTACAAAACCACCAAGCAGCCTTCCCGGTCAGAAAGTCAACACTCAGGCATTGTCACTGGACCCTCGTATTCTTTTTGAGCTCGGTCACTGTCTACAGGGCTCTTTGTAGTAAAGAGACCCAGTCCAGGTTTACAGACTGCATTCAGACCCCCTGTCTCCTCCTAAATAACTATTTAAACACAGACACACCCTTGGCAATCCAGAACACCTCATAGGCATCAGATCAGAGGGCTCTCTTTAACCACAACGCTCAGAGGGCTCTCTTCAACCACAACGAAGTGAAGACAAGGGGAGGCCTTGACCCCCTTGAGTGTCCGGGGGCTCCAAGCTCTCTGGAGTCGTCTGCTACCAGAACAGAAGGTGGTAGTTCTGGACACAGACTCCTGCACAGAGGCCGGCCCGCTTCTCGCTGTGGCCTGAACCCCCAGTGCTGCCTGTCTGCAGGGCGGACAGGAGGCCCAACCGAGCTGCCGGCGGGCAGGGGGAAGGGACGGCCTGGTGTGCCCAGCACAGGGCGGAAGCGCGCTTCTCCCGGGGGTCCTGCTCACCGGAAGCAGCTGGCCGAGGGGCTGAGGGGGCCTGCCCCCTATTCAAGCCAGTGACCTAGAGCCCCCCGAGACTTCCGGGCTTTCAGATCAGAGAGACCCCAGGGAAGGGAGGCCCCGAGAGAAGCCACCCGAGCACCCCCTGTTGCTTGCATTACCTCACTGAGTCCTAACAACTTCATGGAGCGATTAACATCCCCGCGTTACAGGTGAGGAAACTGAGGCCCCAGGAGGTGAGACCACACGCCCAGTGGCAGTCCTCAGGAGCCCAAGTCTGCCCCGCCCCGCACGCAGCGGGCGCATTCGGGGCCCCGCGTGTGCGCGCGGCACAGAGACCCTCCCAGGAGCTGCCGGGGGCCCAGACGCGCCCCCCTCGCACGTCTCAGGAGGGACAGACACAGACGGGGTCAGTGCCGCAGCCTTAGGACGCAGTGGGAGCTGGTGCTGGGTTAACAGCCCAGGTCTCCCCACAGGACCTGCCAACACGGGACAAGAAGCGCTGCCCTGGGACGTCGAGGCCCCGGGGCCTCAGCCTGGGCGGGGGCTGAGGGGCCTGCAGCAGCCGCCCCCGCACACCCTCCACCCACCGCCCCTGTTCTATGTGGGCCCGCACTGCCTCCTTTGACGGCCCAGGGCTCATCTGTGCTGTCTGCACATGCAGGCGCCCCTGACTGCCGGCTGAAGCAGACAGGATGGACCCTGAGACCCCTCTCTGAACTCCGCGGCGGCAGAGCGGAGCGGTGGCAGAGCCCCGGCTGCCCCCCATCCCTGTGACGGAGGCCCCTCTCCCCTGAGCAGGCTAGGAGCCTCGTTTACCCATCAAGACCCCTCTGGTGGCGCAGGTCTGGGATGCCCCACCAGAGAGCCCAGAGACACCCCCTGTGCCCCCAGAGGCTGCCTCCCCACTTGCAGTGTGGGGTGCCTGTGAGCCCCTGCAGCTGGCAGCTTCCCGTGTGACTGGCAGGAAGGGCAGGGTGGGGACGCTCCCACACTGATTTCCAAGCTCCACCCAGTTCAAGATCGTAATCAGCGTCCAGGGAAAGGCAGCTGGTCACCTCCTATCTTCCGCTGGTTGGGGGGTGGGGTGGGGACGATTCCAGAGCACTGACTAATGAAGCCGTGCCGGGTGCTCTGGGATCACAGGTGGGTGAGCGAACTGTGGAACACCCACAGGAAAGCGTGTGCAAAAGGGTGTGTTCAGAGCTTTGATTGAGATGGAAAACACCTGAGCAAATATTAAGCAAAAAACAAAAACACAAAACTGTAGGCAGGGCATACACCTGAGGTGAGAGAGGAGCTCTCCCAGAAAGAGAAGACAGAGCCGCAGGGCCTGGGCGCGGGCGGGGAGGCTGCTCAGCGCTGTGCACTGGCCCATCGGGCCCCACCAGCCAGGGGAAAGGAAAATTGTTAGAACTCAGGGGGAAGGACCCATGGCGGGGAGTCGCGGCTCCACACGGCTGAGTCCCAGGGGAAGCGGGGGTCCGTGGGGGTCTGTGGTGGGCAGGGAGAGAGCCCTGGGGTAAGCACCTTGATGAGTGAGTGGCAGGCTGCCGGGTCGCTGGGACATCCCTCTAGGCAGGAGTGCAGCTGAAGTACCGAATGGGGGTGCGAAGCTGAGAGCCCTGAGCAGTGTCCCTGGGCGCTCAGGGGCTGGGGGGCCCAAGGCGGGCCTTGGTGGTGGGCTTCCTGGAGGCGGCAGGCCTGGCCCGGGTCTGCAGGGTGAGCCAGGTGTGGACGCAGCTGCTGTGCTCTGCGCAGCGAGGTGAGGGTCCTTGAGCCTGGGTTTGCTGGGGTGGGGACAGTGGGCGAGAGGGTTGGGGGGTGTCCAGATGCGACGGGAGACCCCTGAGCTAGGGGGCGGGGGTGGGTTAATAAATAAATAGCTTAAGCTGGTTGGAAAGGAACATGTTTTCCATTTTGGGATATGTGAGATTTAGGTATTGGCTAAACTCCCAACAAGGGAGGCCAACAAGAATTTAAATGAAGGACTGTAGTTTGGGAAACATGGGTCTCCAAATCCTCAACGGTAAATTGAATTTAGACAAGATCAGTAAGTTCTCAACCCTGGCTGCGTATTAGAATCTCCTGGTGCCTTCTGAAAGCACAGATGTCCAGGCCGCACCCCAGACCAACTAAGGCAGAATTGTGGGGGGTGGGGCGGGGGCGGGGCCTGAGAGCAGGACCCAGAAGGTGAGGGCGGGAGGGTGGCGTTTCCAGCTGATCTTTCAGAGGACGGTCTGCAGGGGTCACGGGGTGCGCTGGTGCTGACTCTGGGCTCAGTTCGGTGAACTGGGGGCGGGGGAGGGTCTGGCGCCCCTGGTGACAGATGGCTGGCCTCACCCTCCCCACCCCGGGGCTGGGGGTCCAGTCTGACAGTGGGCACCGCGTGAAGTGGGGAGTGGGCACAGCCCCCACCGTGCTCAGGTCCCAGGGGCTCCGCTAGTAAAAACGATTGTGAAACGCTCTGCAAACAGCAATGCTGCTTACAAGAGAGAGATTCTTCTGCACAGAGAGGCTTCAGTTCCCGCGGGGTCCGCCTGGAGAAGGGGCCCTTCTGTTCCCCTGCGGTCTGGGTGGATGCCACGTCCCTGGGAGAGCACGCCGGGCCCCGTGCCCGCGGCTGGCAGCCGCCCCCACGCAGCACAAGGGTGCTTTGTGTGTCTCCCCGGCCTGGCGCTGGGGCTGCTGAGACCCGTGAGGGCGCGGGCGCCGGGCACTGCAGGGCAACGAGCTGCAGCCAGACGCCCACTGTGCCCCCGCCCCGCGGCCCTGCTCACGCATCCCGCACTCTACCTCTGAGAGGGCCCACCACCACTTGCCAGGGGCCAGGACCCCAAGATGCCCTGACGCTTGGAGCCTGTGAACATGTCCCCTGACACAAGAGTCCTGGCATATGTGGTGGGGTTTTGGACCAGTGATGGGTGACCCTGGGTGATCTAGGGGGACCCAATTCAATTACATGGACCCCTCACAGCAGAGCCTCTTTCCCAGCATCAGAGACAGAGGGTGGCGTGGGGAGGGCCCGGCGCCCTGCCGCTGCTCAGAAACGGAGGGAAGGTTTCTTAGAAGCTGCCGAGCGAGGTCTAGGCTCTCCCAGGAGCCCTGGAGGAACACACCCAGTCATGCAGGGCCTTACTCTGGTGGTCCCCCAGGACCCCAACCTACAGAGCCGGGAGTGACGGGGGTGCAGGGCGGGTGGGGAGCCACCCAGCGGGCGGGGTTGGACCCCCTGAGAGGTGGAGAGGGGCGGAAAAAGGAGGAGCCCTGACCTCGGGCCCTGAACCGAGGGGAGCCCCCCCAGACCCCATGCTCAGTCTGGCCCCCACGGGCGGGCGGCCCTGCGGAGGCTTCTGGTCGCCTTGTGGCTCCCCCGCGGTCCCTGCCCCTATTCTCTTGCACCTGTTCAAACAGGAATCGTGCCCTCACTTTGCAGAAGAGGAAACGGAGGCTCAGAGAAGTCACGTGTGGGGGGGTGTTCAGGCCCAGAGGGCACGCCCCAGGCATCCGATTCCACCAGCCTCCGGTTCGGGGCTCCAGGGGTCACCCCACTGCACCTCGGCTGTGGTCCTCTGCCCCCAGGCAGCACCTCTGTGCCCCCCACCCCCCGCCCAGCCTGGCTGCCCCAGGAAACCACGCCGGACAGAGGTCACCCATGGGGTGAGCTGGCAGCCCTCTGCCATCCGAGCTTCTCCGAGGGGTTCCTCCGGCTCATGTTTCCTGCCTCTGTTTCCTCAGGAGCGAGCCCAGGGCGGCTCCCCTGTGCTGCCCTCTGCCCAGCCCGTTACCTCTGAACAGGGCGGCCACTCCCCAGGGGTCAGGGCAGCTGAGTCAAGGGCCCAGGCCGCCCATCCCGGCAAACACTGCTCACAAGGCCCACATGTCACCTCCCTGACCACCCACCACCTGTGCAGCTTTTACCCCCTTTTCAGAAGAGGAAGCCGACACGCAACACAGCCCACGAGCCGCGGTCACCAGGCCAGGGGCCCAGGATCTGGATGATGGTCATGGCCCTAGACCCCCACCTCCTCCCTGGGGCCCTGGCTTTCTTAGACAAGACCCCGGACAGAGCGTCGGGGGCAGGACCGGCCCAGCGGCCAGGAGCCCGCCCCAGCCCAGCTCAGAGGGACCTGGTACAGGACCGCTGCCTGTGAGCCGCCTGAGGGAAGCTCGGGGCTGGCCTGCCATAGGTAGTTACAAAGCGGCCAGCCCTGCCAGGACCCCTTGTCTCTTCCTGCCGAGATGCAGCTGTAGCCTCCCCGCTCCCAGGCCAGGCTACCCACTCAGTCCTGGTGTGGCCCACTGCGGAGGGGCCGCCCTGCTGGGGGCAGAGGGGAGTCACGGGGCCTGCAATCAGAGCCTCCCAGGCCTGCACCCAGCCCGGCGTCTGCCTCCCAGACACTCCCCTGCAGAAGCCCCTCCTGCCGACAGCACCCTAACCTGAGGTCCCGAGGAGCCCAGCCCATCAACCGCTCTCCAGCTTAATCGCTGTCAGTTTTCAGGTGCCTTGGTTCTGACCTTAAAGATCTTGCTCCCAGGCTGATGGCACGGGAGCTCCTGCTTCAGGGAGAGCCCCCCAAACTCACGCGGGAGGCAGAGCCCACCCCCAACAGAGTCTGCCCTCTGGGCAAAAAGACTCAGAAGGAAAACCTAGAAACACATGATGGAGAGTGAGGCCAGCCCCCCCGCAGGTCGATCTTTAAGCCCAGGAGGCTGACGCACCTGTCGGCTACGGGGCCAGCAGGGAGAACTGGGACGTGCACCCTTGTAGGGTGAGGTGTGGCAGCCTGCATCCATCATCCCCTCTCCTCCTCGACGCTGGGGCCCTGCTCTCTGCCGTCCAGTCACCGTTCTCCCAGCATGGAAACCTCACCACACTTAGGACAGTCCTTGACTGACCTCTCCCACAGTCCCAGCATTAAGGGGCTGCCGACACCATCTCTTCGAGACAGAGGGGGGGACTCGGGGCAGAGCAGGGCCTCCCAAGGCTCCTGGGGTCAACGCAGGGGCTCGGGGGTCTCAGCAAGAGGGGGTTCAGGGGGCGCTAGGACCGCACTCCACTCAGCCCCAAGCCAGCCCCTGGACGGACCCCCCTCGGACCATGGAGGCATGAGGGCTGGGCCTTCGGGTGGGAGTGCAGCAGGGCGCTGACCTGTCCCAGGCTCAGGGTGACCGCATGCCCGCGGGGCTGGCCCAGAGCGCAGCAGGGCCTCAGGGCTCAGGACACGGACCCTGGGCTGCCCAGGCCCTCTGTCCAGGGAAGGGGCCCTGCAGAGCGGGGCGGAAGGGACAGTGAAGCCACAGACCTGGACTGCAGAGGCCTTGGGCCCCCCTGGGACACCGACTGGGCCTGCAGGGCGGGAGGCGGGGTTTCAGGGAGTCTGTGGGGCAAGGCCCCGGGCAGCACAGTCCCAGCCCACCTGCCTCCTGCTGGCTGCGTCACCCCCTGGCTCCGAACCAGTCTGGATACAGGGCCGCTGGGCCAGCCCAGGACGCCCCCGGGGCGGCGGGAGTGGTGGAGGAGGGGACCCCTGGGGCTGCGCTCAGCCCCCAAGGCGCCGAGCGACCGAGGCCCCTGCGGTCCACACCGCAGACGGGACCTGCTTCTGTGGGAGGCTGCGCCCTCTCGTGGCGGCAGCAGGAAGACGCAACCGCTACAGACAAAGGGTGACCATCCTGCTTGGGGCCCCGGACGCTCCGCACAGCAGCACCCACCGGAGGGCGGCACCTGGCCCCACCTGGGGGGGGGCGTGGACAGGCACGATCCTGCTCCTGAGGGCTCCCAAATGGAGTCCCGAAAGGGAGGGGACCCCACAGCTCCAGGCGACGGCCCCCCCCTGCACGTCCAGCCCCCGCAAACCTGCCCTTCCGCCCAGTGGGGCCCCAACGCCCTGCTCCCAGATCCTCCAGCAGGAAGCCAGGACCTCCTCGCCTCACACGGGGCTCCCAGTCCAGCCCTCCAAGGGCACACGGCCGGTCCTCCAGCTGGACTGGGAGCTCCCCGCGTGGTGGTGGGACTGACCGGGGCCAGTTCCCGCCAGCATCGTCCCCTCCACAGCCCCCAGGAGCTCCCCCAGGCCTAAGCGGGGCGGCCGTGACCAGCCCGGTTACGGGGAAGCTCAGCTCTGGAGACCAGCCTCGCCCCCGAGTGGACGCGGGGCATCATCACCTCATCCCTACCAGCCCAGAGAGCTAGGATGGGAGGTCCCCGCTGGGCAGCAACGCCCGCGCCCTTCTGCCTTCCCACGGGGCTGCATACCTTCTGCGGCCCCTCTTACGGGCCCCCCCCCCCAGCCCCTGATCAACAGGAGGCCTCCCGCTTCCTCCCGCAAAGCCCAGGGCGGCTGGATGCGCCTGCCCCTCCCTGGCTCTCTGCAGCAGCGCGTCTGAGGGTGCTCAGGTGATCTGTCCTGCCGGCCACTCCTGGCTTGAGCGGCTCCTTCTTTCCCATCTGAGTGGCACGGGCCCATGATCCTCGGCTTACCCGCCTGAGACACGGGAAGACTGCTTTCCAGCAGGGGAAGGGTGGTGAGACCCCAAGGACCCCCGCAGCAGGTGACCCCTGCCTGGAGGCCTAAGGGCCTGCATCGTGGCCGGTCCGGGCCCTGGCTGAGCTCACCTGCTCAGTAGGCCAAGCCTCAGGACAGCCTGGCCGCCGGCCTGTGGGCTGGGCTCAGGGACCCAGACAAGCATGCAGCCCAGCCTCGGGAGTCTCCCCAAACCACAGGCAAGGGGAGGCGGGGCTGAGCACCGGCTCACGATCCACGCCCGGCTGGGTGGCCGCAGCGGACATGCGGCGCGTCAGCATCACTGCTGGGAGCTGGGGGCGGCACAGACAGGTCAAGTCTGCTCTCCAGGGGTGACAATGTTCTGGGGCTCTCTAGGGAGGCGGCACTGGGGGCCCTCATGGGTCTCCAGCACAGGATGCTGTGGGCTGGCCAGGAGAGGGCAACACACCCGAGACAGCCCCTGGGGTGGGCAGGGCCTCAAGAGGAGAAAGGCTGCTCGGAGGCCCCCCACCAACCCGAGGTCCCTCCAGGACAAGTCTGGGCCAGGAGGACCGAGATCAGGAGGCTGGGGGCTTTGGCCCTGCCTGAAACCCCGCCCCGCCCTCCGCCTGCCTCAGCCCTGGGAGCCCGCCCCCCATGAGGCTACAATCCCTCCTGCGATGCCCCTGCCAGCCCTGCGCTGGTTCTGCTGCACGGTTGCCCCCAGGCTGAACCCTGGTTTGCTTTCCCACCAGTCTCGTCCCCAGCCTGGACCACCTGTCCTGGGCCCAGCGCTGCGCCAGCAAGTGCTCAGTGAACAACAGAGCGCTGGGGCTTCAGCAGACGCGGTGCCTCCCTCCTGCTCGGTCCAAAAGCCCATGTCCCACCCTCCGGACCTTCTCCAGGCCTGTCCTCGTGAGCACACACCCAGCAGAGCTGCTGCCAGCCCCCGGGGGACCCTGGGCCGCCCGCTGACCCCCGGCTCAGTTGCCTCCGGGGCCTTCCCCCCGCCCCCAGCACCCCCCCACCCCAGACCTGACGGAAACATCTTTTTCCTGCCGGCAGGCTGCTGTGCTTCCTGCAGGAAGAGGGCCTCCGGAGGGAAAGTGTTATTTATAGCACCTCACTGGGGGCAGGCCATGGCCAGGGCTGCAGGTGAAGCCTCAGGCCTTGTGAGGGTCCGACCCCGAGGAGGGAAGCTGAATGCCAGGACAAGGGCAGGCCTGAGATGCGGGGGGTCGGACACAGACTGGTTCCCCAGCTTCTCTGCATCTGTCGGGGATCCCACAGCTTTCCCAGGACCCCAGACTTGAACTCTCAGAACTGCAGAAGCAAAGACTTACAGTACTGACACCTGGAGAAGAACCCGGAGACCAACTCTGATGAGGAAACGAAGGCTGCGGGGGAGGGAATCTGTCAACAAGGTACAGGCGCCACTAACGCGGGCCTTGCAGGCCACAGCAACAGCTGACCTGGTACCATCCTGCCTCATCCCACGGCGCGAGGCGGGCGGGATGTTAGGGGCTGAACCGTGTCTTAAAGAAGGCGGCTGAGATGCTAGCCTCCGTCGTCTCAGAGCGTGACCTCGTTTGGAAACGGGGCCCCTGCAGGTGTGAGTGGCTGTGCCCTGGAGCAGGGCACCCGGGTCAGGAGAGGGAGACCCTGGACACAGACACACACTGGGGCCCGATATGAGGACTGCAAGGAGGAGGCAGCCTGGAGCATGGAGGCGGAGACTGAGTGAGGAGCTGCCAGCCTGGGGCACGGGGCTGGCAGGGACACGGGGGGCCGGGAGGGGCAGGACAGGCTAGGGGGCCCGGCCCCGCCCCGCAGGCCGGAGCTCAGCCCCCGCCCGAGATGCAGTCCGCTCTGGCCACCCTGCTGCTGGCACTGTGTGACCCTAGGCCCAGCGGACCGACACGCACGCCCGGCCCTTTGCCAGGCCTTTGACGAGGACTCTGAGGCCGGGCGGGGCGGGCCTCCCCCAGGGCCGTGCTCAGGGCAGTGGGCTTGCTCTCAAGGGAGGAGTCCCTCCGAGGGGCCTTCCCACTGGCTGCACCCCTTCCCCCAGCAGCCGCCCATGGCTGACATCAGACCCGCTGGCTAGCTCACCTACTCCATCCACCAGCCCACTGGGAGGCTCTCCTCAGAGTCCAGAGCATGGGCTGGGGTCCCTCCAGTGCCCGGAGCTGAGCCAGAGCTCGGAGCCTCGGTCGGACCCCCTCTTGGAGCCTTGGTCTGAACCTTCTGCTCCGGGAGGGAAGAGAAGGCTCTGTGGACACAAACAGGAAGCCACGACTCAGGGAGCCATCTGGACATCAAAGAGGCGAGAAGCCTCCTCAGAGACCTTCAGCCCCAGACCCCGAGAGCCTCTCAACAGGGGTGGGTGTGACTCCCCTGGCAGGAAAAGCATCAGGAGCTGCCCCACCAACAACTGCATCCATCCCCACGGCAGGAGTGGGAAGGAGCAAGCAGGCCCCTCAGCGTGGATGAGGCCTGGAAGCCACTCACTGAGTGGAAGAGGCCAGACGCACCCGAGCCCGCTGCACAGTCTGGCCCGCGGAGTCCGGGGCGACAGGCGCACAGCAGGGCACCCACGGCAGGATGGGGACTGGCCGAGGGAATCGTCCTGGGTTTGCACTGTGGCGCTCAGTGTTAATAGCTCAGCAGACGGACACTTGCGAACGTGCATCGCACTGCCTGTAAATCACGCCTCAATGAAAACACAGAATAGGGAACAGGAGAAAAGGGTCCCTTCCCTCTGGGTTGGAGGGAAAGGAGCGCCTGGACTGTGTGGCGGGCCGCGGACAGCGGGGTGGGGGAGGGGGTTCCTCCTACTTCTCTCTGGACCGGCTCTTGCTCAGGCTCTGCCTGGGGCCCGGCCAGCCGGCTCGGGGCAGCAGCCGGCACCTCTTGACGCGAGGCGGGTGAGGTGGGCAGAGGGCATGGCCCTCCTGGCTCAAGACACTGGGCTCCCTTCCACCCTCCCTGGCGCCCTGCTCCCACGGCAACGGCCACCCTGAGACTTCGGCTCCTGAGGCTTGAGCTCCTCATTTCAAATCTCCCAGCTTCCCGTGTCCTCCACCTCGGCCAAACCCGTGAACCCTCCTTGCAAAGCCGGGGCTGTTTATGAGGCCCTGGAGACAGCAGAGGCCGGGAGGTGCCCAGGCTGTGCCCAGGGGCCCGGGTCCCTGCACTGCACCCCCCATCCTTGCCCAGAAGCTTGCAGGCCAGGAGGCCCAGAGAACCACACAACTTAGAGCCACCCCCTCCCTCGCCCTGCTCGGAGGTATAAACAGCCCCCCAGGCACAAATCCACCCAGAAGCATGGTCCGCAGGGCTGGGCAGCCAAGCATCTGTGGCCAACTTGCTTTGTCCCCAACACCTGGCCCAGCGGCGTTTGCCGTCTGAGGACACGTGCAACGGCCCTGGGGGCACCATGGGTGCCCAGACCAAGGATGACAGTCGTGGCCAGTGGGAGGGGACCGCTCAGTGGCCAGGGAGGGCCAGGAGCGGGGGCTCTTGTGGGCAGGAGAGGGGACAGATGCCCACGGCTGCCCGGGAAAAGGACGGACGCCCACGGCCCCCCAGGAGAGGCAGCCACCCAGCTATGGATGCCCCACCGCGTCCCCTGAGGCGTCCGTGAGCCAGGATTCCCTGGCCCGATTGAGCCAGGACCCTCAGGCTGCTGCAGCTCCAAGTCCAGCCCAGCAGGCTCTCCTCCACCCTCTCCAGCCCTGCGGGCCCACTGCCCTCCCAGACCCAGACACGGAGGCCTCTGTCTCCACTGGACGTGGGGCTGGCGTCCTGGCCCCTGTGGCTGGCTTGGAGGGGCCCTTTCCACCGTCTCCCCAGTCACGCCAACCCTGGGGCACATTCTGGGCCTGTCAGGGGCCACGGCCAGCATGAGGAAATGGGGGTGACTCAGGGTGGTGTGGTCTTGAGAGACGAGGCCTTGTGGTGACACGTGGTAAGGAGCTGGGTAGCAGCGGAGAGACCTGGGCTCATGGGACTTGGAGGGCTGGGGCATCAGTTCCAAGCCAGCTGCCAGCCCAAAGTCCTCACTGCATCGCCAGATGACACAACTGTTCCTGCTGCTGCTGCTAAGTGGCTTCAATTGTGTCCGACTCTGTGCGACCCCATAGATGGCAGCCCACCAGGCTCCCCCGTCCCTGAGATTCTCCAGGCAAGAACACTGGAGTGGGCTGCCATTTCCTTCTCCAATGCGTGAAAGTGAAGTCACTCAGTCGTGTCTGACTCTTCGTGACCCCATGGACTGCAGCCCAGCAGGCTCCTCTGTCCATGGGATTTTCCAGGCAAGAGTACTCGAGTGGGTTGCCATTGCCTTCTCCGAGACGGCACAACTAAGTTCATGCAAAACAGTTATTTTCAACTCTGAGGAGAAAATGAGAAACACAACCTAAAATATAACTCTATCGCAGTGTTCCTTAGACTAAGTCTAACTTAGACTAGTCTGCAGGGATGATAAGATTAAGTAGCTGCTCTTAAAAGACAAATCTTAAGGACTTGTCAAAGTAAATGCAATAGCAAAGTTAGTAAAAAGTCGATGTGAGAGATTCCTGCCTCTGTGTAAC